AAGAGTTTTGCAATAGAAGTCTTCCCAAATGAGGAAAGAGTAGTATAGCAGTGGAAACCCTGGAGATAGCACCTCATTGTGGGACGATAAAGAGGGTTCTCATGTTTCTCTGACAAATCAGAGTTCCTCAAAATGACCCTGGGTCAACACATTGGGAGATGGAAAGAGGTAAACTTAAACTTTGTTAAATTAACAAAATACAGATGAGATGGAATAGACAGAAAAGACGTGGTTAGAAGGTGTTTATTGTTCACAGCCTTGGAAAAGTAAGAGATCTACTTCGTTGTGGTTTGTGTTTTGCTGGGGTTTTTTTGTTTGTTTGTTGTTGTTTTATTATTATTATTACTATTACAGTGTCATCTGTTTTCTCCAGATAATGCTTGTTTTCTGGTTTATAAAATGCACAATGATCCCCAAAACTTGTCATCAGTGCTGCTTTCCCCTTCTGGCTGGCAAGTTAGCCTTGGTGGGTTCCCAAGAATTACACACTCCATCTCTACATCCCAGTGAGGATCAGCTGGGCTTCTGCAGATACATCCTACCTGTTTTCGCATTTATAATGAAACTAGAGTTCCACTGAATTCTGGGCTTTCTGCCTCTTTTAGAAAGACTGCCTAACACCTCACAAACTCACCCTTCTGCAATTCCAGCCCTTATGTGTCCTATTTTCCCCACATAAAAAAATGTTATCAGTGAAAACTTTAAAAGTGTTCCACTCCATAGCCTTCTCCTCTCAGGCAAACTACAAATCCTTCCATTTAAGCCCAGTTTTCTAGACTTCCATTATTCCTGCTTTCACTTGAATTTTCTGTAATCCACATCTTTCTTGAGGGATAGTGCCCAGAACTGCATGTAGAATTCTTGCAGAGGCCTTTTTAACAGCTGTCAGAAAGGAAGGATGCAGTGAGACAGTAACTCCGACACCTGCTCCAATCAGACATAGGCTGTGGAAGCTCCCCTAGTGAGGTGTCACAGCCATGAACACAGAGAAGCCGTTTGCAACAAACCGCTAACACAGACTGCTGGAAAACTGAACTTAAAAACCACGCAGGATTCTGTCTGAATTAGCAACTTACACAGAGCAGGCAGGTCTAGTGCCTCCTAGGGACAGCAGACTATCTACTAACTAATCTACTGTTTCTGCTAGCTACTTAATGGATCAGAAACTGCAACAATCTCTTCAATATTGCGTACACCAGTCAGTTTCTGCATGTTTTTTAAAGCCAGAGCACAAGATCTGCTCAAGTAGCACAAGCAGTAGCTTTAATATTGTACTTAACAATCTTTAAGGGACTATGGCAAGCAAACTCAAATCTAGGCAGCAGGCTGTGAAATATGTCTACAGCTTCTCTGCATATATCTATGGACAAAAATGTAGTAGGCTTTAAAGTAGGCCAAGAATACTGTGTTCTGAGGAGCTCACCGATACACACGCCAATAAAACATTGCTTGCTCCTGTATCCACGGAGCAGCCGACCTATAGTTTCTCAGCAGCATACATGAAAATGAGCTACCAAAAAAGAGGGAAAGGAAAGCCTTGAATTTAGCAAACAGTCAAGGGGGTGGGAAGAATTCATTGAAGTGGTATCATCACTAAACAACAGCAAGCTGACTAGACAGCACACAATGGGCATACCCTTCTGTGAAAGTTAAGCCCCACAAATGCAGTCTCTCAAATATATTCAACTCCTATGAAGTTAAGAGGGGGGAAGCCACCAATAATGACATTAGATTCAGAAATATTGAGGACTGCTTCCATGCTTCCCAAGTAATAAAAATGTTAAAGAAAAAGGGAGAAGCCTGTAAGGGCTTTGAGTAGTAG